AAAGGGAGAGAGGTATTTTAGGAAGAACTGAGAATGGAAATAATTAGCAAGGAATGAGAAGAAAGAAGAATTCAAGAAGGAAGGAGGAATGTGGAGGACAAGAACCAAGACAGAGAGAGAAAAAAAAACACTGGACAAGTGATAGTAATGTTATTTAAAGCCATGGAAACGCAGGAGATGGAATGACAATGGAAATAAAGTGAGAAATACCATTACTATAACAAGAACAACAAAAAGGAGACGTTGGAAACAGAAAAAAATAGAGAAGAACAAAGAAAAAGAAAGATTTTAAAAAGAAAAGGCTAGGGCGTCCATCTTTGCAATTAACCAATTAACCATGAATATTCGTATTTTTTAATTTAAGGATTCTCTATCTTATATTGAATTCTCTGAGAAAAAAAAATTGTTATATTTTTAGGATAAAAAAAAATCAAACATTCCTGGCAGCGACCTTGTGACAGAGACCGCACGAAAGACGTAAGACAATAAAAGAGAAGAAAGAGAAAAAGAAGCAGAGAAAAAAAATAGTCAAGATACCAACGCACAGAACCAGGAGAAGAATGATGAAAGAAAGAAAGATCGCAAATGGAAATACGAGAAAGAGGGAAGGAAACTTGAGAGAAAGTGACATAGCGGATTCAAAAAGGCAAAAGTGAAATAGGGCAACAGGTGGAAGCAAAATATCAAATGTTGCTGCAGGAATGAGCGAAAGGATGGCGACTCCGTGCCAGTCAAGGCAATTGTTATCTTCTTATATATGTATATGTGTGTGTGTGAGTGTGTAGGCCTATGTGTGTTTGTAGTCCCATGTGTTTGTGTGTGTAGGCTTGTGTGAGTGTGTAAGCCTATGTGTGTGTGTGTAGGCCCATTGTGTGTGTGTGTGTAGGCCCATGTGTGTGTGTGTGTAGGCCCATGTGTGTGTGTGTGTATGTGTGTAGGCTGTGTGTGTGTGTAGGTGCCTAAATAAAAAGAAGGAAAAGAGAGAAGAAAAAATAGAAAACCAATAACAGAAATAAAAATCAAGAAAAATGGAACCAGAGGAAGGAAAAGAAACAAAGAAGACACAAGTATAATAAAGCAACATTCCTGATTTTCAGCTTGAGGATCTAAACCCACATGTGCAGGTTCGTCAAGCTTTGTAGTGGATAGACGAGCTTCCTTGTGAACAGAATCCAACCTTTTAGAAGACGTGTGTTTTTCTTATAATGTCTTATATTTGTATTTATTCTCAGCACATATAAGTAGTTGATAAAGTTGCAGAAGTCAGGGCGAGATGTGGGTCTAAAAGCCTGCAAGGTACGGAGTGCTTTGTGAATTTCAGTTATAGTTGTTTGATACGATCCACCTACGTCATTCCTATTAATCCCAAGAACTTAAATATAAGATATTTGGATTTGATCCTATGTAAATATCTTACATATAGGGGCTTGATCCTATGTAAATCTCTTAGATATTTGGATTTGATCCCATGAAGAGGGATTGGTGCAAATTTAAACCTATTCTGGAAAGATATATTAGCTATAGTCTTGTACAGTAAGAATTTCAGTAAGTTTCCTATTATGGGACTTTGTAAAGTTCTTGAATATATTGTAAACTTTCCCTTGACTATATAGTGTGAATTCACCCACTGTTGGCTCTTGGAAGAGTTCTTTGTTTTCAATAATAAGAGCAAGCAAGGTCAGACCAAGAAAACACTCTTGTGGGACCCCATGTATATTATTTCAGGTTGGATTCGCTTCGTATTTCTCGTTGATACTATACTTATTATGAATTGTGGAGGTGTGGGACTCCTTTGAAACTAGTATTATACAATTCCACGTGTATGTCATGTTATCTTATAGTCTTGTACGTTTTTTCACGAAAAAAATGCTGCTATCATATGATGTCGTAGACGGAAGCTAAGGATTTTCTTAGAAATATTTGAAACCCATTGATGTCACCAGGATTAGGAATGAGAAGGATGTATTCACGAAGACACTGCTCACTCCTAAAGGTCTGTTATAAAGGTTCAGAGATCTTTTGTCATGTAGAAGTGCGTTCATGGGGATTCCTTTGTTATCGAACACCTCTTGCAACAAATGTTAAGCACATCCAATTTCCTTGATTAGTTTGTGGATGCAGGTGCCCGAAAGATCTCTGGCGTACAATTATCGATTAAAATTGCAACATTGATTCGAGATACGTGCTGTATAACGTTTGTTTAGCTATATTAAGTACTTGTCTACCCTCAGTAGGAAATTAAAGTCGTATTTATAGGTTCCAAGTCACAACATCAATTCATTTTAATCGTCCATTGTAAATGCTCTCCTGAATACCTCATTTAATTCTTGTGGAAAATACAGCTCGGTCTTACAGTTTAACAATAGGAGTATTTGCTCCTGGAATAGCATGTATGGTATATAGACGACCTATCTTATCTGCTGAGGTTTCTTTGATCTAAGAGACGACCATCTTTCTGTGACGTGCATCTCCTCTTTGGTAGTTTCCAGGGTATTGAAGTGATTATTAAAATGTCCCGTTCTGCGGTGAGGTCAGCATCTATTGTCTTTACTTGTGAGAGGTGGTTTCAAGGAAACTTTCCAGGTCAAGCCTTCCATTGCAGACTGAACTTACATTTCCTTTCCTTGTTATCCGCACCTAGGTATCAGAGAAGTTTCAGAGGCGTGGTTAGGTAGCTAGTGTCACCAGAGGAAGACGCAAATAAAAACACATGTATTGTACGCTAGTACATGAATTAAGTGCAAGTGTTTACATAAACATCCTCATTAACATTTTTATCATTATGCAAACTTATTATGTGATATTAAATTTTGATAATGATGATGATGACATTATTAATAATAATAGTGATGATAATGAGAATGATCATAAGGATATGATAAAATGATATTGAAACAGTAACAACAATAATGATTAATGATTATTAGTAATTGATAAAAAATGTTTATGATATCAGTTGTAACATTGTTTTATTATGATAATGCTTACTATGGCCTTCATTATCATTATTGTCAACGATCTCTATGACAATAATAAAGACAACGACAAATTATAACAAAATAATATAATAATGATAAGAGAGATAAGTACCTTTTGATTATTAAAAACGTAATAAAAACAAAGATACCATTAAACTGTTTTGATTAATTAAAAAAAACTAATATAAAATACAAGGTACCATTAATACCTGTTTGATTTCATTAAAAAACAGTAATAATAAAAATAACAAAGATACCATCAAGACCTGTTTGATTCCATTAAAAAAACAGTAACAATATAAATAACAAAGACATAATTAACACCTGGTTGATCCCATTTCTTCTTCTTTTCCTCCAGTTCAGAGATGGCTTAGCGAGGGAGGCAGTCGAGTGGTTAATTGAGAAGATAGAGGCCAAGCACAAGTATGGAGGAGCCGAACTGCTGGTTAGATGCGAGCCACAGAAACAGGGGCAGGTGAGTGGTTTTTCTGGATATTAAGGTGTTTTTTTTAATGTTTCGATCTCTTTGTTATTTTCGGGTTTTCATTTTTTGTGTGTGTTTTTCGTTCTCGATTTTTTTTTTCTTGATTTCGTTCTCTTTCGATTACGCCCTGTCTCGCTGTCTCTGTCTCTCAGTCTCCCAGTCTCTCAGTTTCTCTCTCTTTCTCTCTTCTCTCTCTCTCTCTCTTCTCTCTCTCTCTCTCTCTCTCTCTCTCTCTCTCTCTCTCTCTCTCTCTCTCTCTCTCTCTCTCTCTCTCTCTCTCTCTCTCTCCTAATAATAATAATAATAATAATGATAATAATTTCATTCCAGGGAGTGTCTGTGCATGTGTCGGCAACCAAGATCAAACTCCTGGAGGTGGCGGAGTCGGTGGAGCTCCAGAAGAAGGCGGGGAGTGGGCTAATACAGGTAAGAATGGGAGTGCACAGGTGAGGATTAGGAATGTACAGGTTGGGAATCGGGTTATAGGCCTACAGGTGAGAATCGGGTCTATACAGGTGAGGATTAGGGGTATACAGATTAAAAATCGGGCTTATGCGGGTGAGAATCGGGCTCTTACAGATAAGCATTGGGTTTATGGGCCTATAGGGGAGAATCGGGCTTACGCAGGTGAGGATTAGGGGTATGCAGATTTAAAATCGGGCTTATACGGGTGAGAATCGGGTTTTTACGGGTGAGGATGTGGATTAAACAGATGGGGAATCGGGCTTATCCAAGAGAGAATCGAGCTTATGCAGGTGAGGATTAGGATTATACAGGTAGGTAATCGGGCTTATACAGATTAAAAATCGGGTTTATACAGATTAAAAATCCGGCTTATACAGATAAAAAAAATCGGGCTCATACAGATAAAAAAAAATCGGGCTCATACAGATTTTTAAAAATCGGGCTCATACACATTAAAATCGGGCTTATACAGATGAGGAACCGAGCTTATGCGGGTCAGGATCGAGTTTATACAGGTGAGATTTAGTAATGGTTTCCTGAATCACTTTTTACAGTGTTGAGTGAAATCTGACAGGGTGAATGAATCTAAAACAAGAAGAAAAATAGGCAGGTAATTAACAAAAACAATAATTTGTTCTGAGAATTTCTTTTTAATGTGCAGAAGCATATTTGGCAAAGGGTGAGAGAAAGAAAAACAAAGTGGTAATTGGTTCTGAGATTTTTTATTATTTTTATTTTATTTATAGTGAGAGGGAAGCCTAGCAAATGACAAAATCAAATTTTAAGAAGAGAAAAACTATACTTGGTTTTAAGAAACATATTTTGCAGTGTTGAATGATATCTGGTAGAAGCTAAAAGATATGATTTTAAAAACAAACTTGTAATGGGTTCTGAAAATCTCTTTTTACTGTGTAGTGGAAAATCTGGCAAAGGGTAAAAAGAAAATGAGATACAGTTAGGTTTCTCATAGTTTGTTTTTGTAAGTGTAAGATTTGGTTAGTGTTTTTAATATATATATATTATATATAATATATATATATAATATATATATATATATATATATATATATATATATATGTGTGTGGTGTGTGTGTGTGTGTGTGTGTGTGTGTGTGTGTGTGTGTGTGTGTTGTGCGTGTGTGTGTTTGTGAAAGAGATTGTATGTGTGTGTGTGCGTGTTTGTGTAAAATATATCACTCCCTTTCTCTTCTTGGCCCAGCCCCTTTCCATATATTTCAAGGTCAACAACGATTCTTTTGACCCCCCCGTCCCATAACCCCCATAACCCACACACCCCACCACATCAAAAAACAAAAACCCAAGTTAGTAAGACTACTTAGCAAAAAAAAAATAAAATAAAAAAATAATAATAATAATAAATAAATAAATAAACAAATAAATAAATAAAAATAAAAACCACCCACCAACTTACAGGAATTCAGCGTCCGCGACCTGGACCAGTTCCTATATCCGGGTCAGACTCTGGACACCGTCTTGACCCCAGCTGAGAGGGAGTTCTGCGTCAGGCACCAGCTGGACGCCATCAGGGCCAAGCAGGAGGAAGGGCACGTCCCTGGGTATCCGGAAATCAAGCTCTTCCCTGGACAATCCTTGGGTGAGTCGGAATTTCAAAATTAATAATCACAATAATAATGATAATAATCATAATAGTAATGATAAAAATAATGATGATAATCATAGTCATAATGTTAATAATGATAACAATAATAATCATAATGTTAATGATAGTAATGATAATAATCATAATAGCAATAATGATGATAATAATAATCATAATGTTAATAATGATAACAATATTAATAATAATAACTATGATAATGATAATCATAATAATAATCATATTAATGATATCAATAATAATCATAATGTTAATAATGATATCAATATTAATAATAATAACGATGATAATGATAATCATAAAAATAATCATATTAATGATAAAAATAATAATCATAGGGGTGTAGGTACGTGGTTTTGTAGGTAAAGTGGCATTACTGTTCATGTTTTTATTTTTATTGTTGATGTTATTGTTGTTATTTTTATTGTTGCTGTGATCATTGTCATCGTCATTATAATCATTATTTTTTATCGTTATGATTTTGTTTTTATTATTATTATTATTATTATTTTATTATTTATTATTATTATTATTATTTTTTTTTTTTTTTTTTATTATTATTATTATTATTATTATTATTATTATTATTATTATTATTATTATTATTATTATTATTTATTATTATTATTATTATTATTATTATTATTATTTTATTATTATTATTATTATTATTATTATTATTATTATTATTATTATTATTATTATTATTATTATTATTATTATTATTATTATTATTATTATTGTTATCATTTTATTCTTCTTCTTCTTCTTCTTCTTATTATTGCCATTATTATTATCATTATTGATATTGCTGTTATTATTATTATTATTATTGTTGTTGTTGTTATTATTACTATTATTATCATTATTATCATTACTGCTCTTATTATTATTATTATTAATAATTCATTTATTTGTTTATGATGATTATTGTTGTTTGTTGCTGTTATTGTTATTATTATTATTATCATCATCATCATCATCATCATCATCATCATCATCATCATCATCATCATCATCATCATCATCATCATCATAATTATCGTTACCAATACTGTTATTATCAATATTATTATTATCATTATTATTGCCATTGTTATTTTTTTATTATTATCATTTTGTTATCATCATCATATTATCATTATCATCATATCATTTTCATCATTATATTATCATTATCATTGTTGCTGTCATTATAATCTCAATTTGTATTCAGGTTATGTGAGTGTGTGTGTGTGTGTGTGTGTGTGTGTGTGTGTGTGTGTGTGTGTGTGTGTGTGTGTGTGTGTGTGTGTGTGTGGTGTGTGTGTGTGTGTGTGTGTGTGTGTGTGTGTGTGTGCGTGCGTGCGTGCGTGCGTGCGTGTGTGCGTGCATGCGTGTCTCCCTTCCACCCTCACACACTCACTCTCTCCCTTTCTTTCCCTCCGTCACTTACTCTCCCATTCTTTCTCTCCCTCACACTCTCACTCACTCTCCCATTATATTCCTCCCTCCCTCCCTCACTCACTCTCCCATTCTTTCTATCCCTTCCACCCTCACTCTCCCATTCTCTCTCTCCCTTCCACCCTCACTCTCTCCATTCTATCCCTTCCACCCTCACTCTCCCATTCTTTCTATCCCTTCCACCCTCACTCTCCCATTTCTTCTCTCCCTCCCACCCTCACTCCTCCATTCTAACCCACTCTCATTCTATCCCTTCCACCTCACTCTCCCATTCTTTTTCCAGTGAGCGTGTACTTGGCGGAGGACCTCATCACGGACATGTTCCCCCTCCACGATCGACAGGTCTTGGAGAACCTCGCGTCAAGATGGTACAAAGCCATTTTTCAAGCGGCGTCTTTCGGTAAGGGCAGCTCGTCCAGTGCGGGCTAATGGGGTACTGTTGTGAGATCGGGAAGTGGTAGCGGGGTTTGGGAGATGGGGTGTTGTGTAGG